GGATCATGATTCATGATGATCATTCAACTTTCTGCCGCGAGCTATCATTCCTTGATATATTGGGTCTAGTCGACAGTTCGACGCCAACCTATGAAGCCTCAAGGTCCCCGTCTCAATCCCGTCTGGTCACTCTTGGTAATACTAATCCTTAACGGTCGAGCTTGCACCTTACACCGGGCGTCAACAACCGTAGAATTGTATGGATAGACCCAATCTCTCTGGTTTACATCGCAGGACAGCGAGACTGCATTCTCTCGTTCTTTGATTCCCGTCACCACCCATCTACTCCCCTCCTGCAGAATAACCTAGCCATCAAGCAGTCCGTGCTCCAGTCGCAGAAATCAAATCACATCACCACGCGGAAGGATACGGAATTCTGCAGTGCATCTCGAACTCTACATAGGCAACCAGGAAGACAAAAAAAAAGAAAGCATCATGCGACCAGCCACCACCTGCATCATCCCAACCCCATAAACTGCGGCATTTACACCTGTCATCCACCCAGGAACGGAACCCATCCAACCAAGACAAGACCCGCAGAGTCAGACCCTCCGATGAATCATAAAACCACAAGGTAAGCTGCAAGGTCCATCCACCATCCCGCATCTCCCCGGTTTTAATTCCCGCATCGTGTCATCAATGCCAATGCCATCAGATCCGGCTCCTGCGAGTGGGAAGCATAGCAAGAAGCGTAAGGTAAGGTACTCGGATGGTGCCTGGTTCTTCCCCGCAATTCCGCCATGGGGATGGATAGGCTGCCTTAGGCTGGAAGGGGTTAGGGCTGATGCGCGAGAATGCGGGCGGGTCTAGTTACCTGGGATCCAATAGTGGTGAACTTAGTTTGGGTTGGCTTGTGATGCCTCGGCTTAACTGATGCCATACTCCGTCGTGTTTTGGAGTAAAGATGATTGTGACTTTAGAGTTCTAGCTGAGATGAGTATTAAGATCGGCGCAGTAAGTTGTATATCGGTGTGATGAGCAAGCATAGCTACAGATACAGTGGTCAAGACGGGAGAAGAGTAATATCCCAAGTAATTAGCTATGTATGGCGTCCGGCCAATAATCTACAAATAACATTTACATGAATCATAAGGAGCCGCCATTCTGGCGAGCCATTTCACTTCCTTCTAGACCCTCCGCCTTCTTGCCGTTCGCCGCATCTTTAGGGCCAGACTCCGAAACTGCGACATCGCTCCCCGCAGTCCCGTCAACGGTCTTGGTGATAGTGGCCCCGATCGCCTTAGTGGTCGGTCCGAAGTCCACCCCGCTGATAAACACCTCGCTAAGGAACTCAAGTCCCGCAACAAAGGTGCACAGAAAGCTGGCAATCAAAAAGTGGCTGATGGTGGTGCCGATGTCCAACCAGGACCCCTCATCCCGTACCATATAGAAGAAATTGAGAGTCATGACGTCCGAGATGGACATGACAACCATGAACAGAGCGCTAGGCGCAACCTCGAGCCGACGGTTGAGGATACCCAGATTAGCACTGATGATGGCAAAAGGGATGAGCAATTTCAGGATGAGCAGGGCGCCTTGACTAAACGGATTGAAAACAGGTATGAGACGGAAGACGCTCTCCAGCGAAAACGATGAGACGGATGCGATGTTGCCTGTGCTGAAAAAGGCGGATTGGAGAAGGAAGAAGAAAAACAACGCCACGCGCGTGTCTGCCAGGCCTAGCCTGCGGTAGCGGTATTCCTGCCCATCGACTACCGCTGTAGCATTCAAGCCTGGCTTCTTTGGAACCGTATTGCTTCCACCATAGTTTGCCGAGGACCTCGCAGTATATACGTATATGGCATGCTCTAAACGCACCCAGGTGACTAGTGTCATGCAGAACACAAAGTAGAAAAGTCCCTCATACGAAATGGTGAGGATGATAAAGGTGGGTGAGAATGTGAGAAAAAGTACCATCAGGCGGTGCAAGTAGTGGCTGTTAGGATATAGTCGATGGAAAAATGGCAGCACAAGCGAGGCAACTAGGATCGTGTTAGCAAGGTTTGAGTAGGGCTGCAGAGAGTAGAGAGTCTAGCCAAGTCAGTTCCTCGCAACACTTACCCAAAACGAACCAGCCAACTACTTGGTTACCAAATGGAAGACCTTGCTTGGCCTGCAAAGACGAAACACTGGATCTGGTGACTATCATAGCAAGCAAAACCATGCCAACCTACTTATGTTAGCAAATTGCTCTCAAAAAGTGCTAAGGCAGGGACACAGCCGCCCGTCGCGTAGTCTTAAAGACCGCAAGAGAAGATGAGAAGGACGAAAAACCGTACCTGCATGCCCATAATGACTCGCGACCCCAAGCTAGAGATAGCCCCTGGCGCATGTCCTGAAGATTTACTATGTTTCAAGATAATGTCCTCGAAAAGTAGATAGAGCAACCCGGTGAAGAACATCAGCAGTGCACCATAAGTTCTGCACAAACGATCGTTAGAACATCATCCGTAAATCAGCCTCGATAATCAGGGACCTCATACATGGTGTTAATGTTCTCTGCTTTGATTACAGGAAGCAAAGTAAAAGTACTCATGAGAGAACATCCGACGGCCCATGTAGCGGACAGAACCGTATTCTCTCTGACAAAGTCGATGCCGTATAGAATAGGCCAGAATGACCCGAGGATGAAACAAACCGTGAATATCTCACGGTGGAAGTAGGATTGGACCTGGTGTCTCATCAGCTTGTGTCCAATCATGTCAATGTATTGCAACATACAAGAGCTTCCAGAACTGCAACAAAGGCTATCAGCTGAAATCCGAATGCGATGTAGCCACCGAAAGAACGAACATGGCCCAAAAGGATCTCGCGACCAGCGATTAATGCCTTCCTTCGTGCAAAGACCTCTTCCCAGAAAAAGATTGGAAAAACTCCGTAGACATAGTATCGCCACGAAGATTTTTGATATGAGAGAACCGAAAAGAGCGCAGCAAGAATAGACGTGAAGAAAATAGTGCTGCCCATGGTCCGATTTGAATCCGAGGTACCGTGCAAGACATGGAGATCAATAACCGTTGTCAGTGCATATGCAATCCAGCCTAAATATCCAATGGTGATGATGGTTCGGAGGAAGAGCCAGTCATATGTTTGTAGATAGCGCAGCCCCTCTAGCGCAGTAGCGAATAGAGCGCCAGACTTCTTGATGGACTCATCATAACTGCCGTTGGCAATGAGGGCCTGAATCTCAGCAATATGCTCCTCCACTGAGTTCTTGCCATGATCTGCCAATGGCTCGAACGGCTTGTATCGCAGCAACGCGGCTCTCTTTTGCGCTTCCTTCACGCGATACATCTCCAAGACTTCTTGCGTATTCGCCAATGCGGCGAGTGCCTTCTCCTTTGGGCTAGCATCGATATATTCGAGTGGCAATTGACCGACAGAGTTCACAGGAAAATCCAAGCCAGCAAGATACGCCATGAGAGCAGCAACATCGGCCTGTGCGACATCATGGCGTTGAATGCCGTCAAGGCCCCAATCGGCAGAGAATCCATCTTCATGGCCCGTGACAGCCTTTCCATCTGTGTACTTTGGACCAGCAACACCAGATCCCCAGACGACCAGAGGTGTTCTAGTATTGTCAGGATGACCATCTCCATGGCTTCCCCAATCGCTCATACCATGGTCTGCGGTGAAGACAAACGCCGTCCTGTCGTCACTGTAGAACTCTTCTATAAGGGTTGCTATCTCCTGCACCCCTTTGTCCACAATCTTGATGTTATGCAAGTATTCCTTGGAGTAAGGACGGTAGCCGTGGCCAGTGGTATCGAGTCCAAGAAGATGCAGGAAGAACACCACCTTATCTTGACGTAGCTTCGCATCCAATTCGGGATCGGTCTTTGCAGAGGCAAAAAGCTCCTTCACCTTATTGAAGACCCAGGTATCCAGTTGCGTTGCGTCCATTGTAAAGTCCTCTATCTCTTCTCCGTACATGTCGGCATCAACCCGGCCCGGAACTGCGCCCTCCTTGAACATTGCGAGAATGTCCGGACTCCCCCAGCTCCAAGTATGCCGGCTTTGATTGAAAACGCTATCGAAGTTGACCGGGTTCAATTTCCAACCTGTCGTCACGGCCGAGACATCTTCATACAGACCCGCGATGAGAGCAACATGTCCAGGTCGAGACTCGGTGGGTACTCGGGTGTGGGAGACGCCAAAGGTTCCGTGGGAGAGCACGCGCGATCGAATAAAAGGGGCGAGGTAGATCGGATCGTTGTTTTCTGCATCTTCGCCGTCTTCCGGAGAAGGGTCTGGAGCTGGCTGAAACGCCTTGTCGGCGCGCAAGCCATCGGCAACGAAGAGCACAAGACGACTGGCAGGCGCATTCGCTCCAGGTTGTCGCTCGACGCCATACGATCTCATACCGCTCACAATCGGACTGACAAAGTAAATGTCAAATATGGAATAAGCATATATAAGATGGAACACCACCGCGAGGGCGAGAAACCCAAAGCGGCCCAGACGCGCCATCTTGCCTTCACGGGCGATCCAGCTTCGAAGGGTAGCTGTAACAAAAGAGCGGACTTGATCTCTCAGTACGTAGTGAACAAAAGGAGACCAAACAGTTACAATGAAAAGAAAAGAATGGAAGAAGAATAGTTTCTGGCGAGCTGTCAAACATCTGCAAAACATGGACCTGTCGCTTTTTTAATGACAGCTTTGGGGAACTTGGGGATGCCCCAGCCAATCGGGGGTACCAATTGCGGCATGCCGCGGTTACGGTGGCCCGCAGAGCCCATAACGCAGCCCCTGATGGCCTATGGATTCCTATATTTGGAGAACTACTTTCTTGCAAATAAAGACTCCAGAGACTGGCTTTACAAAGAGAGTATGATAATTGCCAACGGGCTTCGGTCCCATAGATTATAAACTGTCACCGAGGAATCCTACCATGCTCGATCCAAGACACCTAAATTAGCTCCAGATACCTATGCAACAGCCAAAGATGCCATGCCAAAGCTGAGAAATGCAAGAAGAAATATAACACCAAGAAAGAGCACTTAGTTGGTCGAACTGCGTCGCTTTGTAAGCGCATCGATGACCCGTGCGTAGAATTTTGACGCTTGCTGGCGGACAAAGGTGATATCGACTGTAAGATACTCGGGAAGAATCTCGACCAGTTCACGATCGCGACTTTCATCCAACAATGGGACATACTGGAATTCCGCCGTTTCGAAGTTGGTAGACGTTATTGTTGGGACAGCCAATTTGAAGTGAAGAGCTGCCGAGGTGTCAGAAACGCATCTTGGAATCCTCCCTTTTCGAAATAGAACTTACTTCCGTTGACGCCAGTCTGAAGGCAGTCATACAGGTGATCTGATTCCCTCTTCTTCACATCAAGAATGACAAGACCAGTGAGGTCACTGTACAGCTCCTCCTTCAACTGCGCGAGATGAGCTGCTTGGGCTGCCTCAGCATCAGCTGCGCGGTTCGCCCTGTTGTTCTTGATTGCGCTTCCAGGAACTTTCGCGGCAGCGTTTTCGAGACTCGCAGTAGTATTACGGGCAGCTGCCAGCTTGGTCTGTAAGGCTTTGACTTCCGACTGAGCCGAAGTCAGTTGGTTCTTCGCCTCTGACACTTGGGATTTCAATTCAGCGACTTCCGCATCCCGCTCCTTCAATTGTTTCTGGAGCGCTCGGCTTTGTTGGCCAAGCTTCTTCTGCGCTTCCAGCTCTGCCTTGAGAGAAGCAACCAAATTATTCGAAGCTAAAAATATCAGCGTTTTGACGTGTGATCAGGCGCGAGACCTACATACCTGTTGTCACTGCTTCGCAATGTTGTCGAAGCTTATCCATATTGGCATTCGCCTCGACAATCCCTATCTCTCTGAGGTTACGGTAGCGATTCTCCAGCGTGTCATATTTCTTAGTCAAATCACCAAGTCTACGCCTCAACTCCGGTTCACCAATTTTATCATCATCCGTAGAAACTCCGAGCTTCTTTTTGAGAGGAGAGCTTCCTGGTGCGGGCTGTGACGTCCGCCTGCCTTTCATAGGTGATGCTGATGCTGATCGAGGGACCACGGCCTCTTCATGGAGAATAGACTCTTCAACAACCTCCATTTCCTCCTGCTCATTTTCTGCCGCGACACTGCTGGGTTCTGTCCAATGAATGCGTCGCGATTGTCTCTTCGGCTGCTCTAACTGCTCCTGGGGCTTAGCCGGCGGCTGTACTTGTCTCGTAGCCCTCGGTGTATACTCAAATTCACCATCGGTCTGTACCTGCTTCCCAGCACTGACTTTCTTGCGTCCCCGTGTAGCTGCAGGTTTGGCCGATTTTGCCGTTTGATTTGTCTTGGTAGCAACTGGAGCATCGTCCAGCTCGTCGTCGGACGCTGCCAAACTCTCGGGTTCTTGGACTCCGACTTCATCCTTGATTTCCTCATTGCCACCTTTCCTCTCCGGACCTTCTTGAGTTGCGCCTTGCGCCAAGTTTCGGCTACCCTTTGGTCGTCCCCGTTTGGATGCTTTCTTCGGAGCACTATCAGGGGCTTGCGCTTGGGCCACTGTCGAATTACGCTTCGTTTCGGCTGGCGGCTTGCTTTCAACGGACTTGGATCGCGGCCTTCCTCTCGCTCTCTTAGCTGGGCGCTCGTTTTCGCGCTGTCCTGCATCATTGCCATTGACCTGTATGGCATCCGCACCATGCGAGCCGGTCTGACCAGAAAGCCTGGCTGTCGCTTTTCGTTTCGGCATCACAGGTAGTACGTATATTATATTCTCTTAATCAAACAATGATAAAACTTGGAATGGTTATACCGCACGCGACATCGCTATACATTCCTTCCGATGAACTTGCCAACACAAACCAAAACATCGCGTCCGCCCACAGACTCACCGCCTTCCATGTTGCTCACCGCATTGCAACAACCACATGCAGATCGCAGGCATGTGACGTCCCGTCGGCAAAGCCACGATGTTCGCCGGCGCAGAGAGTGAGCGCCACAGCTGTCCATGTCGCCGACAGCCGACGCTCCTGATCTCTTCAAGGTTGATTCTAATCAACCAAGATATCACTCATCATAATCCCCGTTGTTGCACTCGGGCGACCGACTATCTTCGAGGTCATCAATTGGCCACTTGTTGCAGATTGCCTAATCGTCTGTTACTCCTGACTCGGCCCCGCTATCATGGCCTCCGCGCGCGGTCCAAGATGGCAGCAGTTTTTGCAAGAGCTGGTGATGGTCGCTGGTACTGTGAGTGCTATGGCTCTTGGCCCATTTTAACGCGTTCTAATTAGTTTTGATAGTCGGCCTCCGCATACTTTCTCATTCGTTACCTTTTATCGCGCCTTGATTTCGACCCAGAGAGCCAGAAGAAAGAAGAGCAACGGCGCAAATCTGCCGCCATTCTGCGGAAGCTCGACGGTGGAGAGGAATCAGATGGCGACTCACCACGCAGAGATGCTAAAAAGGCGCGCCGACAAAGGAGGGGAGATTTAGTCCTCAACCAGTACGAGCAAGCCATCGCGATGGATGTTGTCGCTCCCGATGACATTCATGTCTCATTTGAGGATATCGGAGGCCTGGACGATATTATCGAAGAGCTGAAGGAATCCGTCATCTATCCTCTGACCATGCCTCATCTCTACTCTTCCACGTCATCCCTTCTCAACGCGCCGTCGGGAGTATTACTGTATGGCCCGCCAGGGTGCGGAAAGACTATGCTTGCTAAAGCGCTGGCTCATGAGAGCGGCGCGTGCTTCATCAATCTCCATATTTCCACCTTGACTGAGAAGTGGTATGGTGATTCGAACAAGCTGGTCAACGCTGTTTTCTCGTTAGCGCGCAAGCTGCAGCCCTCGATTGTCTTCATTGACGAGATAGACGCAGTGCTCGGCACACGGCGGAGTGGTGAGCACGAGGCGAGTGGCATGGTCAAAGCCGAATTCATGACGCACTGGGATGGCCTGACCTCCGCAAATTCTCTGGGTGAACCGCAGCGGGTTGTTGTTCTCGGAGCCACAAATCGCATCCAGGATATTGATGAAGCGATCCTTAGGCGGATGCCTAAGAAATTCCCCGTGACCCTTCCTCCGGCCGCACAGCGACTTCGAATTCTCAGTTTGATTCTCAAAGACACCAAGGTAGACCGGGAAAACTTTGATGTTCACTATTTGGTCAAGGCAATGGCGGGGATGTCCGGCAGTGATATCAAGGAAGCTTGCCGGGATGCCGCCATGGTCCCTGTCCGAGAACTGATTCGACAAAAGAAAGCAGAAGGTCTTCAGATGACATCTGTAAATCCGACTGAAGTTCGCGGCCTTCGTACAGAGGACTTCTTCTCTCGGGCCGGAGGCGTCAGGGTCATTTCGCAACCCTCTCAGCCCCAGACACGACCTACCAGCAAAGCCAGTTCGGAAAAAGAGTGGAGCACAGCTGAATCGGATGCAGCATCTGAAGTCGAGCCACGACCCGCTGAGATGACTGAACCGCCTGAATAAACCACCCCCTTTCAGTGATTTGGATGACTTGCTCGTCCAATGTCTTGATACCAATGTATACAGCACCCCGGTACGGCGTTGATTTTGGTTATAATACAATTTCTTGCAATCATATATTTCGCTGGTATCTTCGGGTCGTTTCCGTTGATGATTGCTGGCTTTGGCTACCTAATACTTGCGAAACAAGCTCTTTTGCCATAAAAATGGCATTGTTTATAGACATTTGATAGCTGTTGTACGATGACCGAAAGACTCCCTCTCTCAAAATGAAGGATCCTAGAAATGTATAGAGACCGAATTCACTACATTGTAATGCAGCCAAATCATACACTTTGTTGCACTACGAGATGAGGATAAACAGACTTCGACTCAAGATATCATTTCTTCCAGTCTGATACACATTTGACGTGGACAATGCTCGGAGCATATTGGTGCCATAAACTATAGATAGATAACAGACATACGTATGTAGCGGGTACAGTGGCCACTGGAAGTACGGAGTAGCCCGATTCTTGGAGAGCGGCGGCAACAAGACACTTGCCGATCACAAGAACCTCAGCAATTACGAAGCTCCTCTTTGTTCGCTATTATTCTATTTACTCCCTTCAGATCTTTCAAGTGTTCGCGACCTTTTCCTCGTCCAAGACCCCTACTCCGATTGACTGAAACGGAACACTTGGCGCTCCGTTCGTTTACCCCATCCAGAACATTGCGGGTCGTCATCTCTAAGGAGTCCGCCAACTCCTGCTGCATCCCGCGTCTCAACCCCCAGATCTGGCCAGCTTTCTACCCTTCCCCTGTTGCCTTACTTTGCGCGCTGCATACTTCAATATCTATCTCGAAGGGAAAAATCCCATTCAGTATATTCGTGGTCGCTCATTCTTCCCCACCTGCCCCTGGTCCTGTGATTGCGACGATACGGTGACTGGATGACGAATGGTCTATCCTAGGTAGAGAGACCTCCGATGGCAACACATGCCTTGGTGATCTCACGTGCTGAGTTAAGCTCCTAAGGAAGAGCTTGCGACATCCATCAAGCGCGGATACCCATTGTCTTTCTGTTTCTCCGGGAATGAGTTCCAACAATGGCATTATTGACACTTTCAGCCCTGGGGCCGCCAGTACAAACACCGGCAGTAGATCTATGTCCACTGTCCGACCACGCACCCGCCGTTTGATATCGGTCGATGATGTTACAGACGAGGACTATGGAAGACCATTGCAGTCCACCAGGCTTTCTACCACAACGCTCTCAGGAGACTCCTCCGCTGTCCGTTCACGAGGTGCCACCCCGTCACCCCACACGTCCCGCGGGGCGTCACCCCTTCCAATGCGGCATCCTTCGCGGGCCACTGAGTCACTCAACCGAGATAATCTCAATGGGTTCGGTGGTTCCCTAGGCGGGCACAGTCAGACAGGGAAGGCACAGGTCAAGTTCGCCGATTCTTCGCGGGCAGCGGTGGATTTTCTAGATTCTTCATGGACTTCCTTACAAAGCCTGGCATCTTCTTTCCTGGGGAGCGATATTGCCCGACCCGCACCGAATGGGACGGCACGTACCCATGCGAGGAAGCCTTCGCGACCAGACCCGTACATGAGGGCTAATCCAAAGACACCCTCAGCATGGGGTCCGTCGACCCCGTCCACATCGGAAATTGCAGCTGGAACAAAGGAAGAGAGACAGGCTATGGTGCAGGCGAAGAAGCGGGAGGCTCTACTACTAGCAGACACAGGTTCTGAGGCTAGTAGCGACACTCAGCACAAAAGGCGAGATTCCAGTGATCGGACGGACCACTCGGCGGTCGATGCAAGGCAGGACGAGGAAGCTTTAGCATATATACACCACGTTCAACTGAATGACAGCATCACCGGGGTTGCGATTAAGTATGGCTGTCAACCAGCGATTTTCCGAAAGGCCAATGGATTTTGGCCCACTGATAGTATTCAGAGCAGGAAGACCGTACTTTTGCCGGTTGCCTCCTGTTCTGTGAAAGGACGACCGATCCGTGCCCCGGCCGAAATTAATCTTCTAGGCGGCGGCACTTCGAACCGGGATTCTCTAGAGGATCTGACTGGAAGCTCGATAGCACCTGCACCAAGCTCAGACGCTAGGGCTTCCTCTGCCGAGGGAGAAGCATCTACAGAAGCGCCGCTTGAAGGGGAGGCAGATAGGATCTGGAAGCATCAGTCGTGGGTGCAGATCGATGGGTTTTCTGCGCCAGTAGAGATTGGCCGCGTTCCTCGCAAAGCATTGGGATTCTTCCCGCGTACACGACGAAAATCTCTATCTTACACAGACTCCGAACCTCGTTCGTCTGTATCCGGCCGCGAGCGAACGGCAACTCTCACTTCAACTCTGCCTTCACCGACAGAGTCGCCATCGTCGCAAGCGTCCACTGCACAGACTCGAAGCACTACAGACCCTTCAAGGGCGCGAGCAATGTCTAGTGCCAAGCCGAGACCGCACCACCAACGCCAACGTAGCAATATACAGCTCGTGGGAACAGGAGTCGGAACGCTCGATCGCAGTGCGATGGCTCCAGGGCCAGCTCTCGACGGATTGAGTAAATTTGTCGCACAACATCTGCCAAATTTAGCTCCTGCACCTGCACCCCCTGGCCTGGGAAGGACACCGTCCGAGTATGCCGCGGCTACGGCTTCCAACGCCTCAACTAGCCTTGACAATATAGGGGGTGCAGTTGAAGGCTGGGTCAGAAAATTGACGACTCGAGCGAAAGCAGGTCTCAGCGACCTGCAACAGAGCGCTCAAGCGTATCAGAGCAATACCGGTGCGGGGACTAGCCGACGTGGCATGGGAGACTTGATTGAACTGAACGCTGGCTTGGAGTCAAGGGATTCATCTGGCCTTCTGCCGGAGAATCCGCGGAAACCGAACCTGAACCGGTCAGGATCAAACCTGCACGACTCATCCTCGTTGAGAGGACGTTTCCCCAGTCCTTCATCATCCGGAACGAGCAGGACTCGCACGGGTGGATCAAACCTAGGCTATGGCAACCGAGTGAAGGATGATTGATCACGTGCATAATGTTCATAGTCGCTAGGTCTCGCAGTTCTGGCGTGTATCTTTTCTGGTCCCTGGATCATCGCTCATCTAATTGGCCCTCTGCATTCTTTCTGCCACCCGGAGTACTCGTACAACCAGCATGGCGCCGCAGGACAGCACCTCTGATATACAGTGTGGTTTGACTCCTGATAATATCGCTAGAGGGTGTTGGAATACCCGTTGATTCATTCTTGCTTCGAACCGATGTATTTAGCTGAAGCAGCTCATACCCATTTTCAGATAGTCCTCTTGAGATAGATTGATCAGTGTTCGTATACCATTTATTCTGCAGTATCAAATCTTTCTACAGGCTACGTCAAATGGTTATGAAATGCTTCCCTTGGTCAAACATCAACCTAAATCTTCAAGAATACCCAGACTGATCCCTTCCTGGCTTGCTCCATCGGTCTTCTCGCGGGTGTAGGTGACACCCTTACAAAGTTGACAAAGCTGACGGCACCGAAGCTGTAATCAAACCTTGCGACGGGTCCTGCAGATCCACGCATCAAAGCTCCTCTTGTTCTCTGATTAGCGTTGGGTAAATTCCGTAGACGGAAAAATTGATGTGCAGTGCCAGTTGACGCTAGCGAGTGTCACCGTCTCTCCTCGAATACTTCCACCTATCGTCGGCGTCTCTCCAACATCAACAGATGAAAGTGTATCCACTTCCCCGGAATATACCCCATACCTATTGACAAAGCACGATGAAGAGGCGGAGAACCTCCAACACGGGGACGGCATTTAACAGGCTGATTTCCACGGAGATGGCAGGTCTCTCAGCGACAGAGACAAGTCCAACATGGCGCATCGAATCTCCTCTCTCGCCTGGCTGTCTCTCTTACTAGGTGCACTGAGCCTTGCCCTGCCCAGCTCGCAGACCCAAGGCGCCATTGCAGACTATCCGACAGCCACCCTGCGTGCAAGCCACCACTCCGGCTCAAAAACCGTCTTCGTAGGCCGCTCCCTACCAGAGTTCGACCAGGAACTGTTCCTGGGCATCAAGTATGCAGACCAGCCAGTTCGATTTACGCCGTCGAGCTTGAAGACATCCTATGCTGCCAACGACAGTAACTCTGGCCCTTATGATGTCTCTGGGACTGGCCTGGCTTCGTCCAAGGGCACGGTGTTGTACAATGCCACGCAATACGGGCACGAATGTCCCGGCTACGGATCGGACGAGACGAAGCTGGTCAACATGGGGCTGATCACTTTGCATGAAGATTGCCTGAACCTCAATATCATTCGTCCGACGCGGAAATCGGGCCACGAGGAATTGCTTCCGGTGATGATATGGATCTTTGGAGGTGGATGGCAGCAGGGGGCTACTGCTGATCCGAGGTATGGTTTATCGGCCGGTAGTACTGGACAGACTGACGGGTATCCGTGGTAGATATAACATGAGCTATATTCTTCATCAAGGAGCTGTGAATGGCAAGCCGGTGCTTGGCGTCTCGATCAATTATCGGGTTGCTGCTTTTGGATTCCTGGACTCGGAGGAAGTTAGGGTATGTATGTATCAATTCAAATGGTCAAGGCTATGCTGACGGTACAGGCTACTGGCAATAACAACCTGGGTCTACGGGATCAACGGGTCGCTATGCGATGGGTCAAGGAGAATATCAAGGCGTTTGGGGGAGATCCTGACAAGGTCACAATCTGGGGGGAATCTGCGTGAGTGAGATACGAATCACCACTCGGATCCGTGGAATGCTGACTCGAACAGAGGGGCCTACAGCGTTGGAGCTCATTTGGTTGCCAATGGTGGTGACAATGAGGGTCTATTCCGCGCCGGTACGTTCTCACTCTAGCATTTACCATCCGGAAGGCTCACATGGTCGTAGCAATCATGGAATCTGGTAACGCTGTTGGACCCCCATGGAACGGCACGGACTGGCATCAGCCGATGTACGACCGCATCGTGAACAAGGCTGGGTATCTCAATCGCTCCTCACGATAGAGTTTATGCTGACACTTGTAGTTGCTCAACGTCCTCGGATACACTCCAGTGTCTGCGAGAAGTCCCTTACAAGTCCTTGTACGACGTAGCGTACGAAGGCCTGGAATGGTTCGCCGCCATCGACGGTTCCTTTATCAAAGAGTACCCTCAGATCAGTTATACTGAAGGCCGACTGGCAAAAGTACCCATCCTCCTTGGATCCAACACAGATGAGGGAACCAGCTTCGGTACTACAGGGACAAACACGGACGAAGACTGCATTAACCAACTCATATGTGCGTTTTTCTGTCGGCCCAGACAATGACTAGTACTGACAACGACAGCCTCGAAACGCTGGGTCCTCACCCGGGAAGAAGCCGCGCGCCTTCTGACGTACTACCCCAACGACCCTGCCCTGGGATGTCCCTACGGTTGGGGGAACGTCACATGGCCGAAGCTGGGACTGATGTACAAACGGTACGAATCGATGGCAGGCGATCTGACTATGGCGGCACCAAGGCGGCTGCTTGCGCAGACCATGGCCAAGTACACAAACCATGTCTACTCTTATCGATGGGACGTGCCGGCCCTGAACACAACTAGCACTATAGGCGTCGGACATTTCGCAGAGGTAGGACGCCACCGCCTTTTTGAAGTCAATGACTTATCTTATTGTACAGATCCCTTTCGTGTTTGCGAATCCCGTGCAGGACATTACACCGCTGGGAACTGACCCCTCCCGTCTCGAACTGGGCAACATGGCCGCTCGAATGTGGACGTCCTTCGTGACGGACCTGAATCCCAACGGGCATGGAGGTACGTCTGACTCATGACTTGACTGAAAGACGCTGACAGGTATAGTACCGCGAATCCCGCAATGGCCCAAGTACACACCAGGAAAGAAGGCGTGGAACTTTGTTTTCCGGTTGCCCATAAATGGAAGCTATGTGGAGCGGGATGACTACCGCTTGGATGGGATGGATTATATCAATACTATTGCACGATAGAGCTAGGAGTCGTCCAAATTGAGACCCAACCCATATCTATCAGTGCAACATGACAGAGTTACAAGCGGGGGGCATAGAGTCGAAGAAAATAAGCCATGATGCTTTAGTCAACTGGTCATTACTAGCCAACTGGTAGCCAATTGGTAGCCAACTGGTAGTCAACTGGTGTCAACTGGCAAGCTATTCGCAAGCCAGGTCACGTAGGTTGATTATCCAGTCAATCAAAGCCCATTCATGTAACTCATCCATTCTGCTCTCTATCAGGGATCTAATCTGACAGTCAGTTATAGGACTGACTCAGACATACGGTCCAGATCAACCCTAATCAAGACCATAGTCTTTAATCTTGAGAAGCTCGACCTCACTATTCAACAACACCAGCATCAGCATCATCCCCAGAATCGAATCCAACATGACTCAAAAACTCACAAAACAAGCGAAGCATTCGGCGGAATCAGCCCCGGAAAGCCCCTAGCATACCCATTAACCACCCTGTTCGAACCCCATGAACATGCAATGAACATACTTCTCTCCATACCCATACTCCCTACCCATATCAGCCAACGTCAACGTCACAAAACCCAAAAGCAGAAGCAGAAGCGAAAGCAGAGTCATACCCACTCATCGTCAAAATCGCCTTCTCCCCAAGACTCATCTGCGGAACGCCCTCGTCCCAGCCTGTAGCCATCATCAACCCTCCATCCGTATACCCACGATAGTGAAAGTAGAATGTGTAGGGTGAAGTGAACAGACATACCCCGAATGACATCTCCCGCCCCGATAGTCGCCTTCAGCGGGCCGCGTCTCTTCGAGCTATCGAATCTGATAAAGAGGATTAGCTAGCTTTCGCTTCTACCGAAGTGTTCGGTTACAGTAGTTACATACTCCTTCCCTTTATGGTGGTCTGGGTTCGATTCGTCGTACAGATACCCGGTGTAGTTGAGCTCGACGGGGTCGCCGGGCCTGGGGTGGTCTTTGCCGTTGCCCATTCGGAGGGTTTGTTTTTCGAGGCCCATTGTATTCCTACTCCTATTGATGTTCCTAGACTGTGGGGTTATTGTGAGGAGGGTGTATTCTAATAGAATAGAGGATTAGAAGGTAGAGGGTCAAGGGAGGCGGAGGGAAATTGAGGTCATATTCGGTGGGTTTGATGTAATCATTTCATAAAAGGCCGATTGTTGGATCCGGAGGGTAACGATAAGAGGGTGATCTTTTGTGGCAATGAAATATCTAGGTTCGATGCTTTATTGTCTGCGATAAGCGTTTGGTGCAGCTGTGCATTGGTATGATATCTGCCGATCCGATGAGTGCAGTCTGTCTAGCTAGACCTGCCAGAAAGACATCTTCTTCAGCTCATCAACATGGATCGACCGGATCTGTGTCCGCGGAAACCGCTCGTCCACCGCCGGCTCATCCCCCAGCCCGAGATAATGCAAAGTCGAGATACCAGCCTTGTCCATGAACGCCAGCACCCCGTGGAAATTGAAGCCGACCTGGTCCAGCCCATGGCTATCATCCGAAAGGACAAACCGGCCTCCTCGCGCCAGGAATTCCTAGTACAGTCAATCACCACCCTGTCACAGAAACGACGAGCGAACTCACTTTGCAAATCTCCTCCTTGGGATAAGGCTCGCTCATCCCCTTCCGCAGCGCAGCCGAGTTCAGCTCCAGCATACCCCCATACCCAGCGATGAAGTCCAGGTTCCGCAGAATCCGCTCCCATACGCCAGGCCACTGTTTGAAGCTGCGCTCGGGGTCATCGCTCTTCAATTTAATCAGATCAAAATGCCCCACGACGAGCGGCCGCAGCTGCGTCAGCATATCCAGCTGCTCGTCAAAATACCGCTCGAACAGACGCTCGTCCGTGCCGCCGGCCAGCTCGCGAGCCTTTTCATACATAGGCCGGTCATAGTCGATTGGCACGGTGAGTGTATGGTGCACGGATCCTACGAAGAACTCGAACGGGAGCCTCGACAGGCTCTGCTCGATCAGGCTCCGCGACTCAGGCCGAATCCAGTCAATCTCGAACCCAATGAGGATCTGGATCTGGTCTGCATATTTCTCGCGTAGCCGGACGGCCTCTGCGAAGTATGCGGCTTCGTTGGCAATCAGTGAGGCTTCGGTGTTGCCGGTTTCGATCTGATGAGTCAGTAGTGATTTGGGATAACCGTTGCTTGGGGCGTACCTCTTCCGGGTAAAAGTCTTCTTGTGCTCGGGGCATGTGCTCAGTCAGACAGAAGACTTTGAACTTTTTTGAGATGGCTAATTGGATAATCTCCTCTAGTGAGTCTTTGGCATGGCCGGGGCAGAACTGGCCCGAATGGCTGTGATGTGAGAACGGCATGGCTGCACAGGTCTTGAGGAGAGCGTGTAATAGAAGACAGGTCACTTAGACGACGAACTGAAGGTGTAGAAATAGCAAAGCCTGAAGCAGTACGCTATATCTGTAGGTTAGAGGTGGATTTAATTCGTAGAAGTAGTATGCATGTGTCAGAACAGACAGCCAATGTAACGCTGTTCTCAGACTGCGTGGGGGAGAAATGCCCCGCCCTGGGAAAGTGAGCCAAGCTCCGAAGATATAAATATATCAATATCAGATCAATGCTAGTGATAGTATTATTGTATCTGTCTTGACAGACCAACGAAGATTTATGCTCGTGGATAAATCCGAGGAAGAGTGCAACAAGCCGGAAGAAAAAGAGATGATAACAAGTCCGCCGACCCACTACCATCCATATTCAGACCTGGTATCCTTTTCGCAATACTCACAATATTGAGTTCGAGTAATCTCTTACTCTACTTGCATACTATATATTATAAGACCAGTCATTGTTGTCTTGTGGCCAAGAAACACAGAAATCCCATTATTTAAGAGATAGAAGTGATGCCCTGTCATTCATCAAGGATACTTAAAGTCACAAAATTCGTTTCACTGCAGTCAGATGGCAGTTGAACGTCTCCAGTACTCGATTTGTCTTGCGTCGTATTCCCTCCTACCAGTGGTCGCATATAGCCTGAAACTTCTCCCACTTGTCCTAGGGCAGTCCGATAGCATTGTGCCTGGACACACGGACGTGTTCACCAAGACTTTATATTACATCGCAATTCTGGGCAGAGCAAGAGAGCAAGAGCATCTCACGCACGCCGAGTGGCAGACCATGAACCGGTCTAAACCTCAGGTTTGTCGTATCTAGATGTTCGGTCCGACTGGGGTCTCTATTGAAGACCCTCTTCTTGAAGACAATGATGCGGAATATCATATCCACGGTATGCACCTCCGTCCCTTCTCACTTGGAACTCTTGCAGAAAGGAGTATGAATAAGCATCATCGGCCATTTGGTGAGGTGAGCCTTCGTCAAACTGGCTATAAGATTGTTGGAGATTGGATGGCCTCCACCGCCCATCAAGTCGAAACACTCGCTGTTGGTAAACTGTCGAGCATGTCCGAATCGTCGTAGAGACTTTCTTGACCGCTGTCAATCTGAATGTGCTCGCATATGCCGCAAAATGATCGGGATCGTTAACCCCCAGGGGACGATCTGGAGGAAGCCTTCCACAATCCCCGAACAAGGCTCCTCGTGTTCTCGTATGAGACCCAGAACTGTCCATCTCATCCCAAAGACAGCCTATCCGTAGCACCACTCGTTCCGTCGAGAACCAGAGATCAATAACCTTCAACCGGAGAGACCTCAACCAGCCGCAAGCACCGTAGCAACCACATAATCCCCATCATGCGAGATAGACAGCTTGCCTACTCTGCCTTCGCCACTTTCTCCACAACCCAAGGGATCCAAGTACACAATCTCCGGTCTACCCTTATCAGCCTCACCAACCCTAACAATAACATCCTTCCATCCGAGGGACGCTGCGCCGGCCGGAGCAGCCTTACGTGCTGCCTCTTTTGCCGCGAAGCGGCCTGCCAGCCAGCGCGCCATATCTGGCGTTATCGTATTGAGCCCAGCTTTTTCTGCGCCAGACGATGGCGGTAGGAGGGAGAATTTGGTGCGGAAGTCTTGCTGCTCCTGTTCGTGGAGGATCCGCCGGGTGAAGCGGTGGAAGTAGTCGGGACGGTTGATGAGGCGGAGAATTCGGGGGAGATGAACGATGTCCGTCCCTATATTGAGGGAATATGGAAAAGGTATTAGTTTCATAGGTGGTTTTTGATATCGTAGAGTTTAGATTTGATCTCTGTAGCACGGGTTCGGAGACGCTGTTTGTATTTTGAGATCATGTGACTGAGGTTAGAGGTTGGAAGCAAAAGTGAAACCAAGAATGATAGTCATGATACTAGAAAATGAACTATAAATTGACGAATGCTCTCTAATTGCTATTCAGCCTTCACCAATTACTGATCGGATGCACACCCTCATGTGTCTGCTTGTGAGTTTGCTGCATGCTACGAAGCCGTTCTACATTTAATCTTCTAAGCTATGTCATGCTCAGTGTACGAAGATCCTCTGGAACTGATGGATCCTCAAGAGCAGATAGAGCAGATGGATCTGCACACGCGGATATCTGGTATCGAGTTGAAGGAAACAACCTCAAATGGCGTATACCTCTATTATGTACAGATCATCAGTACCACTGGCACAGCCATTGAGCCCTATCACTAGCGAATCCTGACACACGACTGTAGGGATCCCGTCTATTATCGCAAGAATTCACCCGGTTGTAGAATCGTTTCCATGATGGATATATCTCGCGTTCAATTTCTTTTTCGTCGTGCATCAGCAAGGCGTCCTCGACTGAGTCCCTATCGTCAAAGGGGGACACCCTAATGATCCGATTTCTTTTGCTCCCCGTTTACTTGGTTCAAGAAGTCCCTGTGATAACCGCGGTTAGCCCCTGTCGAAAGCAGCTTGCTGTGCTGTCCCGGTCATTCAAATGATGATATGCAGAGTCGGTATGCCATTGAAGGCTATCGAAGTCATTGGAGATTGTTGGGGGTCATTGGAACAGCAACGTTGGACAACATATGTCTAGGGTGGACGCAAACATACTGGATGAACTTCTCCTCGTCCTTGGAAGAGGCCTGAATGGGAGGAGTAGCCTGCTTCTTCTGACCACCACCGCGAGTGGAGAGGTAGATACCACCGAACAGGGTGCCCATGACGCCCATGGCGAGCTAAAAATGATTGACCGAAATCAGCGATATGCCATTGCAATGTGATCAGTGACTTGGATCCTGTCCGGCTGTCGTAGGATCACGAAGATATGACGGGAGAGACAGAGGGGAACGTACGACGTGGGAGCCGACCTGCTTGCCGGCAATCTGGTAGTAGACAACCATGGTGATGGATTAGGGTAGATTTGACAGAGGAGGATAGACGCGGGGAATGGAGCAATGCGAATAATAGGACCTGCGGAAGCAATCGTGAAAGCCGGCAGCGATGGAAGTTGACTGCGCGGCTGGGTCTTTACCTCATTTGGTTAGAGCTGGTGTTGAGGTCCCGTGATATCACGTGGGTAATGCATGACATAATAGGTTTGCTTAAGATCATGTGATGTTCCGGCTCGGTCCGAATCAAATTACGGATTCGGGAAGTTCCGCAGCACCGCATCATAAGACTTGGAGAGCACAAACAGCCAACAACCACCAGTGACCAATGAATTACAGGATATGAGCACAAGTATATGTTACAATTCATTGCTAGAGCTATCAATATGAGCGCAACATGACTCGACATGAGCCTCTTGTGGTGAGGGCCCAGAGTGGCAGTGCAGGGCACTGGACCAAGGGAAGCACCCGATGAACCTCGGGGCAAAGATACCTGAGGTACTCCGTACAGCCTGGGATGAATTACTCCGTCTCCTCAATACTACCCCGGCTACTGCATGCTGTGCAGCTGTTCGGGTGCCGCGTGCGGTTACTGAGGAGGACAAATCAGAGGAAAAGAATTAGATGAGAGAATATTGTTCTTCCGAAGCACTTGGCTGTCTCCTATCCATCAATTTATCCTTCTTTTTAACTTACTTCGCTCTGTACGTGTAGCTTGTAGCTTCCCTCTTACGGTTACTTGCCTCGCCTGGCTGTCACTGCACTTACAGAACACTTATACCCTTCAATCCAGATCTTCACTTCTTACCCAGTCACCATTTCCTTTCCGCAAATTGAAAGCATGTTCTGGAGGAAGCGAGGTCATCACGATGAGACTCCCGCAGACACACCGCAGCAGCCGATACCCCGCGAGAAGCTTCCTGCTCAGCTTCAGAAAATAGTTGACCAGGATGACGGCTTCTACGATGATATCTACCCTCCATAGTATGTTTCCTCCTGGCGCATCCTGTCGCTACTCCTTCAAAGTGGCCGTTCAATGTCGCGTGTCCAAGTTTACACTGCGGAACTATGGCATCATCATCTCCGCCTGTCCCCGCAAAACATTCAAGAATCATGAATTTCTTTTCTCTCTTTCAAACCTCACCATCCTTCCTTCCCACAGCCTCCTCACCATCTCACCGCAATGACAACCCCATCATCTAACATGGACAGCTCCGTCGACTCGACCGACACCCCCTACCGCTACGCCGGTTACGTCAACCGCATTCGTACCATCCTGCTCTCCGCCCACCGCTACGTCGCCTACACCTCCGACATAGGCGAGTCCTTCCGCCCCGTCGCACACCCCTACCTCGTGCGCACCGCCTACGGCATCTCCTGGACCTATCTGCTCGGCGATGTCGCCCACGAAGGCTACAAAGCCTACCTGCGCAACCGGCACGTCCTCGCCCCACCCGGCGAGGCCTACAAGGACGCCAAAAACCTCTCGGCCAACGAGGTCGTCATGGGCATGGCAACAGGCGACATGGGCAGTCCCAGCGCCGGCACCGGTGCCGAGCTCGCCCCCTGGCCGACAACCCGCATCCCCCTCATCGAGGACTACCGCATGGTAATGGTCAAGCGGGCCGTGTTCCAGAGCATCGCGAGCATGGGGCTGCCGGCGTTCACGATCCACTCGGTGGTGAAGTACTCCGGGCAAATGATGAAGAACAACAAGAACGTCTTTATGCGAACATGGACGCCTATCGGTGTATGTTCCCCTCCACCCCAGCAGCGTAAGGAAGTACAGCACAGCTACTAATGTGAAATGCAATGACAGCTCGGCCTTGCAGTCGTCCCCTTCCTCCCATACATCTTCGACGAACCCGTCGGCGAAGCAGTAGAATGGTCCTTCCGGACCGCTCTCCGCGCCTACGCAGGCGAGGACGCCGTCCGGCCCCTCCCCGCCCTGGCCTCGGCCTCAGCCGCTCACCCCTCAGACACAGGCGCAGATGCACCCTCCCTATCGCACTACCTGAAGACCCAAGCGGAGAAGAACTCATCCGCGGCGCTCGGAGCCGACGGTTCGGTCGCAGCGAGCGCGAATCTCTCCTGGGAGGAATACAAGGCCGAGCGGCAGAAGGCGAAGGAGGAGCGCAGGCGGGAGCGCGAGGCCAAGGGCCGGACGGGACCGCTCGCTTGGTTGGGGTTCGGGTCGGACTCGGACTCGAAAAGTAAAACCGAGTAATGGGTCTCTATTCTCCTTTAATGCTAGGTTTGGGTGGGCTGGGGTGGGGCGTTTCATGGGGGTCTTGCGCCTGCGCTTGAGCCTGTATGTTGATTTAGAAATTTTTTTTTTTTTTTTTTTTTTTTTTTTTTTTTTTTTTTGGTCTGCGTAGGCACTCCGTCTCACGTCGATCCGTTTCCTTTGTGTCATTCATCTCACCTCTGTTGCATACGCACAGCCATGTACAGGAGTTCCAGGTGCTCTCAGCTCAATGATTCCGGGTTGTACCTAATTGATCTAATTGATGATAGAACAAGACGTACATAGGACTCATCTAGACTAATAGACATCGTGCAGGCAGTGCGACTCAGTATCGATTCGTAGTTACGTTCTGGAAGATTGGTTGATATTCAACAGATTCAGTATATTACGGGTCAGATAAATCTTCAGACATTCATTCAACATCCACAGGGGCACAAGAATCCTAGACACGACTCGTTCACTCTCTACTCACACTATACATCTGTACAATAATCGCAAGAACAAAACACTAGAGACATCAAGGGAGAACAGGACCAGGGGCGATAGTATACGGCATCACTCATCACAGATACCTACCCCCCAGCCCAGGTATGGAGCAGAGGAATTGATTTTTTTTGAGACGATGCGAGCCGTGAAGGTAACAATGATCTTGGTGTCGGGAGGTAAGTACTTCTCTGTGGCACCATAAAGGAAAGTAAGAAATAAAAAGGTAGAAAAGTGAAGACCAAAGTCTGGCAAGAACAAAATGGGGAATAAATATAGAGAAATGTAGAAGAAAGAGACAGAATGATACATAAACAGCGCCACAGAAGCGCTGTCTCACAAACCAAAAAAAATGAATACATCCAGAAGTTAAAAGGTATCTCCGAAGGCAGCAGGACTGGCAGGCATTCCAGCGAGTCCCACTCCCGCCCATGATCTTTGACCCACATCGTAGGGGTTAGCCTATTATTCCTTCTGCAATACTCGGGCTTAGTTCCAGCCCAGCGAGTTCTCGGCCATGACAGGAGCACTGATCATCTGGCCCCGGCCACTTCCCCGGCTATTCTGGCTGTTGCGGGAAAGACGACCGCCAGCGGCGAAGAGAGAACCGGCACCACGACCTTCACTCGTCTGCTCCATAGTGGAATTGGAGCGGCGATGCAATTGACGTTTCTTGCGGTAGCGACGAGCAACCCAGAACATACCCGCACCATAGGCTGCGGCGCCGCATACGACACCAACGCCGATGCCAACAGAGCTGGCACGAGCGGAAGAGCTGCGACTGGCACCGGCATCCGCGTTGTTGCCAGAGTCACTGCCACTGCCATTACCATCGCTGCTGCTACCACTGCCGCTGAATCCACTGCCGCTAGACAATCCGCTGCCACTAGATGAGCCGGATTCTCCGACAACAAGAGGGATGGAAGGATCGATCATCGAGAACAAGGTCTTGACCGACTCGTTGGGCTGTTGGTAGAGTTTGGACAATGGACTGCGGAGCAGCTTCCTCAACGTGTCAACCTTGTCCGTAGGAATATAAGCCAAGGCAACGGTTGCAATGTACCCCGTGCTGGCCGAGTTGTCGTAGGGCTGGATCGCGAACATCGAGATATCTTGGCCGAGAATCTCCAAAGCATAGATCAGTCCCTGTGGAACGTACAGGAAGATCTGCGATGAAGAGAGCGGGGTCGTGGCGACGAAGCTGTATCGGAGTTTGCCATTGAAGCCGATCTGAATCATAGTAGAGTCCGGTGGAGGGCTGGTCAGACCATTGGCTGGCGAGATGGATCCAGGCAACTGAGCGGGTCGACTGGTGCCAGTAGCGGTCTCAGCCGTTGAGAGCTGAGTCGTGGTTGTAGGCTCCACCAGAATACTGGAGGGAACAAAGTCGGTGTTCTCGGTGGTGGTAGTTTCGGGTGGATAAGTAGTACTGGTGGTGGTGGTGGTGGGGGCGGCGGTGGTCTCCGGCGTGGTTGTCGAACTTGGGGTCGTTTGCTCCGTTGTAGAGGGTGTCTGAATTGCCGAGCTGCTGAAATTGGCAGTAGGCGTAGGCAAAGTCGAGCTCACTCCGGTGGAACCCGTGATAGCAATCGAGGAACCAATAACGGTATCGGAGCTACCGGGAATGACAGCGGTGCTGGTAACAGAGGGAGCAGTCGTAGGAACGCTAGGACTGATCTGAGTGTACGAAGTTGGCGACTCAGTTCCGCTAATGCCTCCTGGGATGAGGATACTAGTCAAGCCGGTGGGGACGCCAACGAAGCTGCTGGTGGGAGTGCTTGCGGTTGGAATGACTCCAGTGCTACCAGCGCTACCGAGGATAGGACCCAGAATTCCACCCAGGCCACTCGAGCTGGTGGCGGAGGGTGTCACAGCAGGGACGCTGACAGGCATAGTAGACTGACCAAGGTCTGTGGATGCCGGGGTCTCAGCCCCGCTGCTACTGTTGGTCGCGGCTGAGGATGATGCAGCAGAACCAGGCAATAGGTCAGGGATACCAGAGGTCAACGAATCGAGTAAGCCGCTCGAGCTTGGAGTTGGGGAGGGGCTGGCCTCTGTCGAAGAGTTGTTGCCTGTCGAAGAGGGAATAACGTCTGTTGAGGGGGTAACAGTGCCATCAGTGTTGGACGAATTGGTAGTGGCAGCTCCGGACGCAAGGGGACTGGAAGCTGCAGGCAGAATTCCAGAGAGGTCCGAGGCAACAGTGTCAAGGAGGCCGGACGAGCTCGCAGTTGGGGTCGGAGTTGCTTCAACAGGAGAGGGGGCAGCGGGAGATGAGGAAGCTGTTGGCGTCGTAGAGTTTGTGCTGGCATCAGTGCTCTCGGTCGTCGAACTCCCGGTGGTCTTGGATTCAGTGACGGGTGGAACGGCATTGGTTGAGCTGCTCGGGTTTCCCAGAACACCGCTGACAAGGCCATCCACACCACTCAAGGCATCGCTGACAACATTTCCGCTGCTTGTGGCAGGAGTTGATGAGGCTGGTGTAGTTTGGGAGTTGTCTGAGGGGTCTGTCTTGGCCTGAGAGGAGGTCTGCGTTGTTGATGCGGGAGTTGTTGTCGAACTCTCAGGGGTCTTGGATCCATCAGTGGCAGGTGAGCTTACTGGAGGGCTGGTATTGGTTGAGCTGCTCGGGTTGCCCAGAACACCGCTGACAAGGCCACCCACACCACCCAAGGCATCACTGACAACATTTCCGCTGCTTGTGGCAGGAGTTGATGAGGCTGGTGTAGTTTGGGAGTTGTCTGAGGGGTCTGTCTTGGCCTGAGTGGAGGTCTGCGCCGTTGAAGGAGTCGTCGCGGGAACGTTGTTCGGAGCAGACTGATCGGCCGCAGAAGATGGCTCGGGCGATGATGGCTCGGACGTTGAACCGGGCTTGGCATCAGAAGATGGCCCTGCTGAAGGGGGTGGTGTGGGGGTTGGGGTAATGGTGTGAGAGACACCGTTGGCATCTACCGAGACGACGATGGGCAGGGAGACGAGCGGGGTGCTGGATGGTGTCGCGGCGCCGTTTTGAAGCAGGCTATTGAAGTAAGAGATGAAGGGATTCAAATCAGCCCTTGTATCCAAGTGAGTGTCAGTGTTCGACGACGCAGCGGCAGAGGAGTCATGTCCATAAACGACATGTCTTTTGAATTGTTTGGGTATGAAGCGAGGCTTCAATTCCTGAGCGTTTTGGGCCGCGACAAGCTCGAGACCTCCCAGGGACAGGAGGGCTGCAACAAGATGAGTCGCAGGACGCATTGTTTCGATACCAAAGTGATTGCTCGCGATAAGGACCGGCTAGGGTTGACGGTGCCGTAGTGATGCACAAAGGAATGGACGGAGCCGAAAGCTCAGCAGGGCTCCTATAGTCAAAGGTAGATCACGAGAGAGGCTCAGTATTATCCGTCACGCTCGGCAATGCATCGATGCAGGTCTTGGAGCTGGTTGGGCGATGGGAAATGCTGCTATCACGTCCAAAATCGTATATACGGTACGTAACTAGGAGGTTGGGACGCAATCGCAGGTTCTTCGAGCCGGACACCCTTACTGACAATCGACAACGGACAGCGCGGTCGACTGTATCCGATGCAAAGACTTTGATGATGCGAGTTCGAGGATCGGGACGGTAGCGATATAGCGGCGTCGACGTCAAAACTGATCAATTCGTGATAAAGAACGAGTGTATAAACAATGCGAATAAAGAGCGACAAGGGAAGCTATTGAGTCGACTGTTCCCAAAGCGAATTGGCAAAACGAATGTGAGTGCTGTAAGGAACGAACGACGAGATCTAGATTAGAAACGTCAAAAAATTAATAAAAGAAAAGAGAGACTGCGTTATTGTCGTGGATATGAGGTGGAGGAGGTGGGTGAAGGTGTTGGTGGAAGAGGCCGATGGATAAAAGTACCTGTTGAGTAAGGAGGACTGGCTGATCTCTGGTCGAAGCGAGAGGCGCGACCGTGGGAGAGAGGGGGGGCCGGTGGGTGTGGATGCGATGCAAGGAGTCAGCGCGCTTGTCAGGTCCCAACGGTAAATAATATTGGCTACGTTCAATCAACAATAGCACCGACTATCGACGGAAGATAGAGAAACAACTAAGAGCAAAAGAAGAATAAAAGATGACGGGGAAAAGAACCAAAAGAGTGACAAGAAGGGAGGACAGACAGCAGCACTTGAATAACGAAAAGCGACTAAAGAAAGAGGGACCTGGAAGGTGAAAGGGAAATTAATTGAGGCGGAGATGGAGGATTATCTTTGACTAGTTTGAGGTTAGCCTGGTTTATTTTCGTTGTTAGCGCAGACCAAGTGAAAAAGGAAAAGGAGGAACTTATTATTGTTACCAAACTGTATCATCATACAGGGGCTGGCCATAATTACCACCAAATCAGTGTACAGAGCCGTGGAAATGGAAAGCGAAGTCCGAACATTACAGAAATATTACAGAAATACAAAGTACTGTAGGTAAACATGGGAGTAAAGGGACACGCTATGGACACGCTATGGACACGCACCACTTTCAGGTTGTACACATACGGAGGAGGTAACTTGAGTAACTGCTCTTCGAGATGTTGGCATTGACAACACCTTCATAATGTTCTACAATACTTACAGCTGATGTAGTCATCTGTAGATATCCGTGGTGATGCAACCAATCTATCATTCTGCATGGTTCTCTTGTGGAGGAGATCATGACAATCAGCAAGGCATACTGCGGCGGCTGGCTACTGCAGCACTGCCTACCTAAGGGTTTACCACTCTACAATTCTAAGATGACATTCCTCGGAAAGATCACAACAATACTAATCTGTAGTTCCAGTGTTAACCTCAGTCATCATTAGCAGCTTTACACATCTCGCTCAGTATTATGGACTCCTTGAGTTGGCCCAGAGAACAGAGTCGATCAGAGTCGAAGGGAGAAGTCCAGAAGAGGAGTCTAGATTGTCCATGGTGTATCTGGATCAACAAAACCCTGACTCAGTCGGAAGGCAAGTGATGAAGAAGAGATGTCTCCAAGTCAAAGGCACACAAACCGCAATGGTAACCACTGTAGCCGATCTGTAGCACAGAAGAAAGCAATGCAGTGGCAGTGTTGAAAGGCCCCGCACATCACAAGCATTTCGAAGCAGGATTAAACATTCCCTGGTTGAAACTGGAACAAAGAAAACATGCAGTTCCTCAGTTCAATGAAGGAGTTCCTCAGTTTGTCCATCTATCCACGGGAGGCTGATTCCGAGTCTTGTTGATTGACTTCTCTTTGGTCGTTGACCAAAGTCGAAGAAGTCTTGTGCTACCACATCATCGTTGATGCCCATTGCTGGTTCTACAATGCATGCCGATCTGCTGGCCAGGCGTGCTCATCATAATTCCCGGCATTTCCCGCGCTAGGCCTCCACAGCCCACTCGGCCAATCACCCATGATCCATCCAACCAGCTCACCAGCCTCTTGCTTACGCTGCGCTGCAGTAGGCCTATTCTGTCAAGGTTCGGTACATCGCATAGTCTAGAATGACGGCGTCATCTTAGTGCGTGTGTGGACCACAATCCGTCCACTTATACCGACTTCCAAGATGAATCGTGGAAATATGGTGGAGTATGATGGTGCGTGGTGATACAGTAGTGGTATGGTGATTTAATGGCCGAAGGAATGAACAGAGTCAAGGTTCTCTTTAATGATTACCTCCTTGTCTGATAAATTAAATTAAACGCACAGCCTTATCGTTATGACTACGGAGTCTTCATTCAAGTTGTCAAAAGGTACCTGACGATGACAACATTCCTAACCTGAGGCATCAGTTTCGTACTCTGTGAAATGTATCACTAGAAACAGGAGTCGGCACTTACGGAGTACAATAACAGACCACTAAGCATTCAGGGGAAAAGACATGATGGTCCAAATTGAACCATGACAGACGCTAACATATTTGCAGTAAAGCCCTCCATTAGGGTGTCATAGCGTGTCATAGCGACCGACACCATTGACCTGAATGAGGAACCTAGGGGATCAACTTCTTATTTCGTCTTTGACCGAGTCTAACGCCCACTCCATTCGGCGATCAACTAGGTCATAGCGTGAGGAACTGTGAGTAAACTGATTATTGTTGATTAAACTTCGATAGCCTGTTGCCGAACATTGTGCGTGTCAATCATCATACCAGCTTCCAGGTTCCAACAGATTATTCATCTATCTATTGGACCAGCAATGTGCCAGGTATTTCTCCCGAACTCTATGATCTGTCAACAAGGAGATGTTTTACCTCCACATGTTTTTCCCCTGGCAGGTTGCAGTTCCGTAAGCGACCCGGCGTGGGAGGCTGAAACGGTCGTCATTTCATCCCTTCTGGCTGGACCGCTCCGAGCCCTGTTCAGACACTTACGCAGTCAATGGAGGTCATCTTGCACATTTGCTGTCAGGTAACCACCTCTAGTATGCTATCTGGAGAGCTACTAGAAAATGAACAGTTGAAAGCCACTTAGTACAGGCGAAAGTACCTTTAGCAAATGCCAGCTGGACAGATTAGCGACCTTTAGTAAAGGCACAGCAGAGACCATGACTTGATCCAGTATTAATGCCAGCAATCGATAGACAATATCTTACAAAGTAGATTTAGCTGCCTCCTGACTCCTGACACTCCAGCAACCCACAGGATCATGCTCAAAGTCAGGGCAGAACTTCATTCCAGGCACCACGCAATATCGACAAGCTTGACAATTCGACACAACACCACGTCATTGGACATTCCTTGCCATGTGTTCAGAGTCAGCCATGTTTTCATGATAGATGACGCATCAGAAAATGTTGTCCTTGATGAAACAAACAAAAATGTGACTGTCAAGACACGACAATTGGTAAATACAGATTTACCGAGCTTGGTACTTGAGTTATAAAATGACGCTAAACCTGTTCCTGAAAATGACCTACAAAGGCCCACCTTACTAAGCAAATGTCCCATTGATGGATCATTTGAGTTTATATTACACATTACACGGTACACAGTTTTATGGCCTCCAGCCCTGGGCGCAGTGTACAGTCTGGTATGATTATTCTCAGCATAACATTTCATGATTTCACCAACATCATCTGGATGAGTTGTCAGTAACTGCTAAATAGCCAGCATGTAATAGATACTGGCTAACACTTAGCCATCTCTTCATCTGTTTCATCCTACTGCAGGTACACCATTACTAACATCGTACATGGGCTATATCTCAGATCTAAGCCATGCAAACGGATATGCCATCGTCCATGGTGCCACGTTTTGTTTTGAATGGGTCTAGGAGTATGAATTCCTGTCTGAGGACCGGCAATACCGTCCAATTCAGCCACATCAACACCAGCCATATGACTGTCACCTCAAGACAGCTTACCTATCACACCCGCCAACACATCACAACGCTTCCCAATCATCATACCATAAGACCTCGACTAAAGTCGGGAATCCCTCACAGTCGCAAGCCCCGTCACCACCGCAGAACACTCAATCTCCACATCCGTACCCAACGGCAACGTCTTCACAGCAACGCAAGTCCGCGCCTAGCCATACATCAGCATCCGCATCCACCTCATCTCGTCTCGTCTCAAAACGCAAAGCAAAATGGATAGAAGCAAACTAACCGGCTTCGGCTCCCCAAACGCCGCCTGATAGACTTCATTCACAGCCGCAAAGTCCCCCATATCAGCCAGGAAGATATTCACCTTGACCACGTCCTGCAAACTCGACCCGCCTGCTTCCAGGACAGCGGCGAGATTATGTAGGATTTGCTTCTGCGTTGCCTTAGTTTCATCGTTTCATCTTTCTAGCATTGTAGAGGAGGGGGGAGTGAAGTACAGTGCGCGCTTGTATGGGGCCCTCCACCATCTTCCCCGTTGTAGGATCCACGCCGACTTGCCCGGAGCAGTAGATCATATTCCCTACTTTGATTCCTTGGGAGAGAAATGGGGGTGGGAGGGGGGCCTTTTCGGTTCGGATGGGGATGCGGAGTGTTTTGGCCATGGTTATGGTTACTGGGAGGCTGTCTAGTTGAGTTTTGAGGTTGTGAAGACTGCTGGAGGTTCTGGTGTGAGAAAGTTGGAGGTAGACAGTAGACTCGTGCGGAGATGTCGCCCCACTATGACTACTACGACTACTACTCTGGATGTGGTGCCTACCATGCATTCAACAGGTAGGTGATGATATAAAGGCAGATAATTGTTAAAAAAAAGAATAATAAGAATTAAGAAATTAAATAAATGAGCCTTGGATCCTCAAGAGAATGATAGAC